TCTGAAAATAAATAAATAAATTGGTTAAAAATTTCAAATAAAACACAATATTATTTTTATTCTGCTAATATGCATACAAATACAAATAACAATAAGTAATAAAAAAAATAATAATAAAAAGAATAATAGTTCAATATAAACAATAGCTAAATATAAACAAATGAAAACAATTAAATAAAAATGATACAATAAAATAAATAATAAAATAGAATAAATAAAAATGAAAATAAATAGGCAGGTTAAAACATGTCAAATAAAACACATTATTATATTTATTTTGCTAATATGCATGGAGATGTGAATGTGTGCGGGTGAATGAGTCTGTATGGGTGTTTCCCAGTACTGGGTTGCAGCTGAAAGGGCATCTGCTGTGTAGGCTCCCCAGTAAACCCTAAAGCACTGTTTATTTATTTGTTTTTGCTTGTAATTTATTGTAATTTATGCAAATCTACTGCACAGAAAAAGACTTGGTCGATCTAAATGAATGAAGTCTTTCCATAGATACAAGTCATCTGCTGAAATTATATTCATATCGCAACATATACAAAATACCGCAATGTCAGATTTGTCCAATATCGTGCAACCCTAATCAAAAGGATTGCATATTGATTTGTAATCCTTCATATATTGTTCAAAATGCATGCTTGTGTTGCTCATTCTGCATTCTGTTTGAGAGAATTAACATTTGCATAACTAATTGTGGTCATTAAAACCAGTTTTTGCTTTTGTTCATCTAAAATCATTTTCAGATCATGTACAAATCTTCAAAATATGCTGACTGTGTATGTATTTTTCCATCTTATTTATTTATTTTCTATCGGCTCTGTTGATCTGTTTTTTAATTTTATAATTTTTTTATAATTTTATTTTGTTTCATTAATTAATTTGCTATTTTTATTTTGGTAATATGCATGCAGATACAAATAACAATAATAATACGAGGAATAATAACTAAATATAAACAATAAATTAATTAATAAAATAATAATGACATAATAAAATAAATAATTAAATAGAATGATGAAAAATGGAAATCAATTAATAAATAAGCAGGTTAAAATAAGTCAAATAAAAAACTTTATTATATCTATTTTACTAATATGCATGCTGATACAAATAACAATATTAATAATATGAAGAATAATAGCTAAATATAAACAATAAATTAAACTATAAAACTAAAAGTAATAAAATAAAATAAATAATAAAATAGAATAAATACAAATGAAAATAAATAAGCAAGTTAAAATATGTCAAATATATCTTTATTTTGCTTATATGCATACAGATACAAATAACAATATTAAGTAATAATAATAATATGAAGAATAATAGCTAAATATAAACAATAAATTAAATAATAAAAATAAAAATAGCACAAAATAATTAATGAAATAGAATGATGAAAAATGAAAATAAAAAATTAATTACTTGATTAGTTAATAGGAAGGTTAAAATATATCAAATAAAACACACTATGATTTTTATTTTGTTAAAATGCATACAAATACAAATAACAATAAGTAATAAAAAAAATAATAATAAAAAGAATAATAGTTCAATATAAACAATAAATGCAATAATAAAATAAAAATGACACAATAAAATAAATAATAAATACAATTGAACAAATCAATCTGAAAATAAATAAATAAATTGGTTAAAAATTTCAAATAAAACACTTTATTATTTTTATTCTGCTAATATGCATGCACATACAAATAACAATAAAGAGTAATAATAATAATAATAATAATTATAATAATGCAAAAAACAATAGCTAAATGTAAACAAATTAAAAAATTTAATAAAAATGATACAATAAAATAAATAAAAATTAAAATAAATAGGCAGGTTAAAATATGTCAAATAAAACACTTTATTATCTTTATTTTGCTAATATGCATGCAGATACAAATAACAATATTAAGTAATAATTATAGTACAAAGAATAATAGCTAAATATAAACAATAAATTAAGTAATAAAATAAAAAGACACAATAAAACAATAAAATAGAATAATAAAAATGAAAATAAAAAATAATTAATTAATAGGAAGGTTGAAATATATCAAATAAAACACATTTTTTATTTTGTTTATATGCATGCAGATACAAATAACGATAATAAGTATTGATAATGATGACAAAAAAATAATTCAAACAATAATTGCTCAATATAAACAATGAATAAAATAATAAAATAAAAATGACAATAAAGTTAAAATATGTCAAAAAACACAATTTTATTTATTTTATATGCA